TTAGCTTCCCATTCAAATTAATTAATGTAGCATATCCACAATAACAGAATGAAAGAGAAAAAGTCCTATATTCTCAGTATAACTTTACACATATATTTGATAACCTTTCATGAATGAAAAATACCAAGTTTGGAAAAGAAAAAGCATCCTAAAAGTTAAATTGTATCAACAAGAACTTAAATTAAGCACCATATTAAAAGTGAAATATTCAGAACTTTCCATTTGAGATTGGGAGTAAGACAAGACTGCTTACTATCACTATTTCCATAGAAATGGAGGGCCCCAGTCAATGCAGAAGAAAAAGAAAAAATCATACTAAAATAATATAATTAGCAAGAAAAATATAAAACTGTCACTGGTGGCCAAAAGAGATTAAGTGGAAAACAAAACAGAACAAAATCTGCATATACAGTCTAAGAATTAACACAATGTATTTAGCCAAGTTCAAGGTATAATTCAAAATTGTGCAAAAATAAATTATAATAATACATTAGCATCAAGAAGATAGACAAATTTTAAATTATGCTTTCTGTAATAGCATGTCAAAATATCTGAAACCAGGAATAAGTCTTATGTGAAATACTTCCAAAACCTAAAAAAGGGAGACAATATTAAGAATGTCTATATAAATAAAATATATGAAGTTCCTAAAGTTGAAGACCTTAAATGAAAACAATGTCAACTCTTTTTAAATTTGTGAATAATTGGTTTAGTCCCAGCAAAATTCCCAGAAGGTGTGTGTGTGCCTGTTTAAATTCATGATCCAAATTATTTACCAGATTGCAAGCATTCAATGATAACCTGAACATTCTGGAATGAAAGGACAAATTTGAGGACCTAAACCAACAGATATTAACAATTATTTAAAAAGCCATTCTAATATAGTATGATATTGTCACAAGAATAGTTAATTAGACCAAAGTAACCAAATACAGAGATTAGCATTCATAAGGTGACACTACAGTGCATTGAGAAAGAGATGGTCTTTTTGTTTGTTTGTTTGTTAATTGTGGTAACACTGGTTTATAACATTGTATAAATTTCAGGTATACATCATTATACTTCTATTTCTGCACAGATTATATCATGTTCTCATGTTCACAACCCAAATACTAATTACAACCCATCACCACACACATGTGCCAAATTATCCCTTTCACCCTCCTCCCTCCCCCCTTCCCTTCTGGTAACCATCAATCCAATCTCTGTCTCTATGTGTTTGTTTGTTGTTGTTATTATCTACTACTTAATGAAGGAAATCATATGGTATTTGACCTTCTCCCTCTGACTTATTTCACTTTGCATAATACCCTCAATGTCCATCCATGTTGTCACAAATGGCTGGATTTCACCGTTTCTTATGGTTGAGTAGTATTCCATGTGTATATATACCACATCTTCTTTATCCATTGGTCCCTTGATGGGCACTTAGGTTGCTTCCAAGTCTTGGCTATTGTGAATAACGCTGCAATGAACACAGGGGTGCATGTATCTTTACAAATTGGTGTTTTCAAGTTCTTTGGATAAATACCCAACAGTGGAATAGCTGGATCATATGGTAGTTCTATCCTTGATTTTTTGAGGAATCTCCATACTGTTTTCCATAGTGGCTGAACCAGTTTGCACTCCCACCAGCAGTGTATGAGAGTTCCCTTCTCTCCACATCCTCTCCAACACATGTTGTTTTCTGTCTTGTTAATTATAGCCATTCTGACGGGCATGAGGTGATATCTCGTAGTTTTGAGAGATGGTCTTTTTAAAAATAGTATCGATAAATTGGATTTTTGTATAGAAAAACTAGTATGTCAATAAAGATTCTAGAAAGCAATAGAATATCTTCATGAAGTTAAGATGGGCAAGTATTTCTTTAGAAGGACTCCAAAATGTCTTGCTGTAAAAAAAGGTAAAGGAATTCCATTAAAAATGTTAAGATTTTTGTTGTATTAAAAGGCATACAAAAAAAAATATAAAGTGCAAACTATAAAAGTGGAAGAAACAATATAAATGTAATGTTAAACATACAAAAATATATTATGTAAAGATATATTTCTATATATGTTATTCTTATTTTATACGTATTTACATGTATATATACACACAAATTTGGGAAAAAAAGGTCATTATTACTTTAACTTTTCTTTCTCATCTCCACACTCTCCTCTTTCTCTCGGTCTCCAATAACACATATGTTAGACAAATTGAAATTTCCTCGTGGATTACTGAGGCTCTGGTCCTTTTTTTATACTTCTATTTCATTAAATTATCTTGCTATGCCTCCAAATTTACTAATACACGTTTTAGAAAATTTCTGCTTCTTGTCACATTTTGGTTGGCTGCTCAACATTGTATTTTTTTGTTGAGTGAGTGGATTTTGTTTTCTTTCCTTAATAGGTGTTGGCGTCTGTTTTGGCTGGCTGGTAAATCTCTTGCAAGTCAGTGAGACACTAGCTTTTCTAGAGACCATAAACTGTGTCCTTTACTCAAGGGTTAGCTCAGCCCTATTACTACGTGAGACTTCTGGTATCTTCACTAAATGACCCAGGTGGTCACTAAAGACTTTTCATTTTGCCTGTACATAGCTCAAATATCTCTCTGTTCTATGTGATTAATGGATATTTTTAAGTTTACAATTCTTCACTTTTTCTTTTCCTGGCCTTTTAGAATTACTCTTCATACATGCATAGTTTCATACTCAGAAAATATTAATTAGGACACTAAACATATTTCTGGGTTTATTTTTCTTTGTGGTCTCCTCCTTTCCAGAACTTAGCTCTATAAGTTTCAGCCATCTCAGGCTCCCCAGATTTCCAATCTTTACCTTCTCATCTCAGCAAGTCTCTTGCACTCTGGTTTCTCATACCTGATCATATAATTTAAAAAATGCATATAGGCAGAAAATCTGAGTCAACATGAAGGATATCTCATTTGTTTTCATGTCTGTAACAAAGTCTCACACTTTTTAGTGTATAATATCCGAAACACGTTCATCTCTTGCCAAGTTTTTTTTTCCCAGCTTTATTGAGAAATAATTGACATACAGCATGGTTGTTTGATTTATATGTATTGTGAAATAATTATTACAATAGGTTCGGCTAACATCCATCATCTTATATAGACACAATAACAAGAAAAGAAAGAAGAAAAGAAAGAAAAACATTTATCTCCTTGTGATGGGAACTCAGGCTTTACTCTTTCTTGTGTATCATACAGCAGTGTTAACTATAGTCATCATGTCACAAATTATATCCCTAGTACTTATTTATCCTATAACTGGATATTCGTACCTTTCAACTACCTTTCTCCAATTCCTCCTACCCTTATCCTCTGCCTCTGGTAACCACGTCTGATCTCTTTTACTATGAGTTCGTTTGTTTTTAGATTTCACATATAAGTGAGGCCATACAGTATTTGTCTCTCTTTGTGTGACTTACCATAAGTGACTTTGTCACTTATTGTAATGCCTTCAAGGCCAACTTGTGTTGTCACAAATGGTAGGATTTCCCCTTTTTTTCTTTTTTTTCGTAAGATTAGCCCTGAGCTAACAACTGTTGCCAATGCTCCTCTTTTAGCTGAGGAAGACTGGCCTTGGGCAACATCTGCGCCTGTCTTAGTCTACTTTATATGCAGGACACCTGCTACAGCATGGCTTGATAAGCAGTGTATATGTCCGTGCCCGGGAGCTGAACCTGCGAACCCTGGGCTGCCAAAGCGGAGCGCTCAAACTTAACCACTATGCCGCCGAGCCAGGCCCAGGATTTCCCCATTTTTATGGCTGAATAATAATTATATTCCATTGTATATATATATATACCACAACCACTTTATCCATTCATCTATTGATGAACACAGATTGTTTCCACTTCTTGGCTATTGTAAATAATACTGTTATGAACTTAGGGGTGTAGATATATTTTTGAGTTAGTGTTTTTGATTCTTTTGAATATATTCCCAGAAGTGGAATTGCTAGATCATATGACAGTTCTATTTTTAACTTTCAGAGGATCCTCCATACCATTTTCCATAGTGTACCAATTTACAATCCCAAAAATACATTTAAGAAAAACTTTAAGTAATCTGTTTCTATATTTATCTTTTCCTTTTTTTGTCCTCATTTAAGTTTTTTAAAACAACTGTACCAATTTACAATCCCACCAACAGTGCACAAGGGTTCTCTTTTCTCCACTTCCACACAAGCATTTGTTCTTTCCTGTCTTTTTGATGATGGCCAATTTGAGGAAGGTGTGGAGTAATATCTCACTGCAGTTTTAATTTGCATTTCCCTAATAACTAGTGATGTTGATCATCTTTTCATATACCTGTTGGCCTTTCATATATTTTCTTTGGAAAAATGTCTATTCAGGTCCTTTGCCCATTTTTGAACTGGATTATTTGCTTTTTTGCTATGAGTTGAATGAATACTTTATATATTTTACATATTAACCCATTATGAGACTTATGGTTTGCAAATATTTTTTCCCCTTCCATAGGTTGTCTTTTCACTTTGTTAGTGGTTTCATTTGCTGTACGGAAGCTTTTTAGTTTGATATAGTTCCACTTGTTTATTTTGATTTTGTTGCTTGTGCTATAGGTGTCATACCCAAAAAATCATCACCAAGGCCCACACCGGGAAGCTTTATTCCTATGTTTTCTTCTACAAGCTTCATAGTTTCGGGTCTTAACATTTAAGTCCCTAATCCATTTTGAATTAATTCTTGTGAGTGGTGTAGGATAGGGGTCCACTTTCACTCTTTTACATATGAATATCCGATTATCCCAGCACCATTTGCTGAAGGGACTGTCATTTCTCCATTGAGTATGCTTGGATACCTTGTCAAATACTAGTTGACCGTATATGCGTGGGTTGATTTCTGGGCTCTTGATTCTGTTCCATTGGTCCATTTTTCTGTTTTTATGCCAATACCATACAGTTTTGATGACTATAGCTTGAAATCAGGGAGTGTGATACCTCCTGCTTTGTTCTTCTGTCTCAGGATTTCTTTGGCTGTTTGGGGTCTTTTGTGGTTGCATATAAATTTTAAGTGTGTTTTTTCTACTTCCGTGAAAAATGCCACTGCAATCTTGATAGCTTGCATTGAATCTAGAGATGGCTTTTGGTAGTATTGATATATTAGCAATATTACTTCTTCCAGTCCATAAACACAAGATACTTTTCCATTTATTTGTGTCTTTTTCTATTTCTTTCATCAATGTCTTATAGTTTTCACAGTAAAGATCTTTTGCTTTCTTGGATAAATTTATTCCTAAATATTTCATTGTTTTTGATGCTATTGTAAATGTGATTTATTTATCTCTTTTTTGGAAAATTCATTGTTAGTGTATAATAATGTACTGATTTTTGTGTGTTAATTTTGTATCCTGCAACTTTACTGAATTCATTGATTAGATCTAACAGTTTTTTGGTTCAGCCTTTAGGATTTTCTATATATAAAACCATATCATTTGCAAATAGAGACAATTTTACTTCTTACTTTCCAATTTTAATACATTTTATTTCTTTTTCTTGCCTGCTTGTCTAGTTAGGAATTCCAGTACTACGTTGAATAGAAGTGATGAGAGTGAGCACCCTTTTCTTATTCTTTATCCTAGAAGAAGAGCTTTCAACCTTTCAGCGTTGAGTCTGATGTAGCTGTGGGCTTTTCATGTATCATCTTTATCATGTTGAGATATGTTCCTTCTACTCTTAATTTAAGAGTTTTTGTCATGAATGAATGTTGAATTTGTCAATTGCTTTTTCTGAATCTATTGAGATGATCATATGAGTCTTTTTTTTAATTCTATTAATGTGATGTGTCACATTGATTGATTTGTGTATATTGTACCAGCCTTGCATCCCAGGGATAAATCCCACTTGATCCTGATGAATGAGCCTTTTAATGTGCTGCTGAGTTTGATTTGCTAGTATTATATTGAGAATTTTTGCACCTATATTTATCCTACTGTTGTTGATTTCTAGTTTTATGCTGTCGTGGTCAGAGAAGATACTTGGTATGATTTCAATCTTTTTGAATTTGCTATGACTTGTTTTGTGGCCTAACTTATTGTCTATCCTAGAAAATGTTCCATTTGTGCTTGAGAATAATGTGTATTCTCCTGTTGTTGGATAGAATGTTCTGTATATGTCTGTTAGATCCATTTGGTCTATAGTGTTGTTCAAATCCACTATTTCCTTATTAATTCTCTGTGTGGATGATCTATCCATTGTTGAGAGGAAATATTAGAGTCCCCAACTATTATTGTATTACTGTTCATTTTCTCCTTTTAGCTCTGTTAGTTTTTGCCTTATATATTTAGGTGGTCCAATATTGGGCACATAAATATTTATAATTGCTATATCTTCCTGATGGATTGATCCCTTTCTCATTATGTAATGGCCTTCTTTGTCTCTTTTCACCATTTTTAGATTAAAATCTGTTTTCTCTGAAATAAATATAGCTATCCTTGCTTTATTTTGGTTACTGTTTGCTTGAAATGACTTTTTCCATCCCTTCACTCTCAGTCTATGTTTGTCTTTAGGGGTAAAGTGAGTCTTATAGGCAGCATATTGTTGGATCTTGTTTTTTATCCAGTCAGCCATTCTATGTCTTTTGATTGGAAGATTTAATCTATTTACAATTAAAGTAATTATTGGTAGGTAAGGACTTACTATTGACATTTTATTAATTGTTTCCTAGTTGTTTTGTAGATCCATTTTCCTTATTTCTTATCCTGCTGTCTTATTTTGTGTTTTAATGTCTTTTGTATCACTACTTTGTGTATCATCAGTATGCTTTGACTTCTTTATTATATTCTTTTGTGTAATTGCTATGGGTTTTTTCTGTGGTTACCATGAGGCTTACATAAAATATCTTAAAATTATAGCCCTGTATTTTAGGCTGATAACAACTTAATTTCAATAGAATTTCTAAACTTTACACTTTTACTTCTTCTCCCTCTCACATTTTAGGTTATTGCTGTTACAATTTACATATTGTTATATTGTTTAATTAATAGCAGATTATTATAGCTATGGTTATTTTTACTGTATTTATTTTTATTTAACTTTTAACCTAAAGTTCTAAGTGAATTATGCATCACAATTACCAAACAACAGCATGTAACTTTGACTATATATTTACAATTACCAGTGAGTTTTATGCTACCTTTTTAGTTATTTATTTACTTTTTGCTGAGGAAGATTCACCCTGAGCTAATCCTCCTCTTTTTTCTTTTTTTTTCGCTTGAGGAAAATTAGCCCTGAGCTAACATCTGTGCCAATCTTCCTCTATTTATTTTGTGTGTGGGACACAACCACAGCATGACTGGTGAGTGGAGTACATCCACTTCCAGGAGCTGAACCTGTGAACCTGGGCTGCCAAAGCAGAGCACGTGGAACTTTAACCACCCAGCCATAGGGCCGGGACTCTACTTTTGTATATTTTTATGATGTTAGTTAGCACCCTTTTACTTCCACTCCAATAATTCCCTTTAGCATGTCTTGTAAGGCAGTTAGTGGTAATGAACTCCCTCAGCTTTTGTTTGTTTGGGAAAGTCTTTATCCCTTCATTTCTGAAGGACATCTTTGCCAGACATAGTATTCTTGGTTAAAAAGTTTTTTTGTTTTTCAATATTTTGAATACGTCATCCTATTCTCTCCTGGCGTGAAATGTTTCTGTTGAGAAATCCACTAATTGTGTTATGAGAGTTCCATTGAATGTAACTTCTCTCTTTTCTCTTGCTGCTTTTAAAATTCTTTCTTTGTCTTTGACTTTTGACAATTTAATTAGTAATGTCTTGGTGTAGCCCTATTCAGGTTCAACCTATTTGGAGACTTTTGGGCCTCAGGGATCTGGATGCTCATTTCTCTTCCCAGGTTTGGGAAGTTTCCAGCAATTATTGCTTTAAATTTACTTTTTGCCCCTTTCTCTTTCTCTTCTCCTTCTGAAATTCCCATAATGCAAACATTGTTTCTTTCGTTGTGCCTATAAGTCTCATAGGCTTTCTTAATTCTTTTTTTATTCTTCTTTCGTTTTGCTCCTCTGACTGGATAATTTCAGTCACCTCCAGGTCACTGATTCTTTCTTCTGCATGGTTGAGTCTGCATCTGAAACTCTCTATTGAATTCTCCAGTTCAGTTGTTGTATATTTCACCTCTAGGATTTCTGTTTGGCTTTTTTTTTTTAATGGTGTCTATTGTTTTATTGTTTCCTTTGGTGGTGTCATATTTACCTGATCTTCCATGATCCTTGATTCTTTATGTTGGTATCTGCGCATTTGAGTAATCAGGTTCCTCTTCTAGACTTTACAGGTTTGTTTTGGCAGAGACAGATCTTGAATGGTGAATCAGCTCAGTTTGGGTTTCTGGGTGTGACTGCTGGTAATGTCCTCCGGCAGGTGAGGCCTGCTGTTATGGTCTATTTTTGGGCAAGGCAACTGTTGAGGTTGGGGATGGGGGGTATGCCACGGGCTGAGAATCATTTGATAGGATTGCTGACCTGGTTCTCTACCCAATCAAGGATGTAGGATGGGCTTCATGGTTGCCCGGATTCTCGGGTCAGGCTTTTTAGGTGTTTGGGACTAGGTACTATATTCAGTTGTAGATGTCCCTATGAATTAGCTTCCCTGGCCTGGCAGGGCAGTAGGATGGGACCACAGCCTATGCAGTTCATTGTTTGGAACCCCCAATCAGGCAAGAATGCACTGAAGTCCCCAATCAGGAGAGGCCACCAGTTTTGCTATGAAGATGGGAGAATCACAGGCTGTGCTCTCTGTTCAAGTGCCACTGTACATAGGGCTGTTGACTAGACTTTGCAGCTTCCGATGCGCTCTGGTTAAGTTCCCTGGTTGCACCAGCTGAAGGTTGTGTTCAGCAATGAGAGGAGCTATGAACTAGATTTCCTGCCTGGGCGCAGTGGGAGAAGTAGCACTAAAGCCAGTAAAGCTCTTTGTTTTTTGTCTTAACTCAAGCCAACCCACATCCCAAGTTCCCTGGCCAAGAAGGGCCATTGGCTTTGCTGTGCAAACTATTTGCTATGCCTTCCTTTTTCTCAGCTTGGGCACCACTGGGCTGCACAGCTTTCAGATGTTTTCACCAGCCCTTCTGGTCAAGTGGGGCCAGGAGCCACAGTTGGTGGGGTATGTCTCATCTCTCTTGGCTGGCCGGGAAGAGGAGGGGCCGCTCCAGGCTCCTCTCAATTTCTCAAACAGGTTCTCTGCTTGGGAGGGCCCTAGAGCTATGCTCAACTTTGGCTATGAATTGATCCTCCTGCCTGTGTACAGCATGGGAAGACTCCACACCAAATACTGGCTTTGCTGTGGGGGCAATCAGCTCAGCTCACCCAATTCTCAGCTCAATCACCACTGGACCACACAGTTTCCAAAAGTTGTCATCAGCCCTTCTGGTCAGATGGGGCTGGAAGGCACTCTCCAAGGACCTTGCCTGGATGTGGGCAAACCGAGCTCTGGGGCTGGTAATGCTCCTTGCTTGAGGTTTCAAATCAGACAGATCTATACCCCACTGAGTTCCCTGGTCAGACTATGCCCTGACTTGGTTCTGAAGATAAGTAAAGGAGCTGGTTGGAATTACTACTTGATCACTGCAGGTATGAACTCAGATGGCCAAGATATGGGTCCTAGTTTTTGCAAGCTCCTCTGACCTTCTCCATCACAGTCAGATTCCCCCGCACTCTGCATGACGTGAGATCAGAATAAGGGCTCCCACAAAGCAACACACAATGCTGGGTGGGAGCTGGCTGCTCCCCACCATTCTCTTTTCCCACTGGGGGGACTGGAGGCTCAGGGGAGACCTCTCCACATGGTGCTGCACTGGCTTGGGGGAGGGGCAATGCAATCAACAGTGTATCAACTTCTCTTAACCTTCTAATGCAGCCTGTCTTGGTCTCTGAGGTACAGGGACATGGTTCAGTCTCACCCCCATGTTCTAGGATTCCTTCAGTGGTGTCTTGTTCTTGAATAGTTGTTTGTCATTCTTCTTGTGATGGGGAGCAAAGTCAGGAACAACCTATGTCATCATCTTGGTGATGTTACCTCCTTTTGCCAAGTTTGTTTGGTTTTCAGTTTTTTAGTTGTTTTTAATGCATAAGTCTTGTCCTTGTTAATTCATGATTGGAAGTGAATAAATTTTAATTTAAAAATGTAGATGAATGAGACAAAAAGCATGGTTTCAAAATATTTTATTCTTTATAAATACAAGTGCACCGCAGTCATTATTCTCGACATAAATTTTGTTAATTCTCCTTAAAGTTACCATGATGGAATTTTAGCAATTGGCAAATCACCTAAGTAACTAAATAATACGTGATGAGTATTAATTTTGTATGATTTTTATTGGAACTAACAACAAACCTATGAGTAACTTGGTGATAAAGAATTTTTAAAAATGAAATATCACCATGCTTTTTATGTGGTTTTTATGTCAAGAGAAACTATATCATTTTCCTCTAGGTATTTTGTATTTTAATAAGGCCAAGAAAAAATAATAAACATAGTGATAAAAAGTAATCATTCTTTTCAAAATCTCCATGTTAACTCATAGATTTTTATGCTGAAGTCACATAGAGACATTTATATTTGAATATATTTTTGAATATAATATATATATTTTGAAATGTCAGAATAACCCAGAAGAGTATACTGAAAAGAAAACTATTTACATTATTCTTTATTGTTAAAATGTTAGTTTCCTCCTTAATAACATATTTAAAGTTGTTACTTAATCCCTCATATAATTTCAAGTGAGTGTATAGTTTGTTTGTTCTGATGGTTTTTCAAACATGATGACGTAAAATATTTAAACTAATACATTTCTTCTTTTTGGATTGAAAATGTCATTTATTTGTTAAATTCATTTAACATAGTTATTTTGTGTAGCATGCTGGTAAATGTAAGAAAAGCTCAGTTTGAAGGAATTATGTTATTTTTACATTAATGGTTTTAAGAAGCCAGTACTATAGAAAATTGCTAAGCCTTTCAGCTATAATACTACCCAGGGCAGATTGAGTCATCTCATTTTAAGGAGCATAATTAGCTATTCAAGCACTCTTTTTAAGAAAATAAGGAGAGGCTAACTTATGTCTCATATGTATTGCATGTCTAACAGTGATTTATTATCCTAAAAATATTTATTTGGGTATTGAAATTTATAAAACTCTAACTTGACACAGGTTTATGGTAAGTAGGTTTTATGCCATTGGCACCCAAGTGTGGGTTAAATCTTTGAGAGTAAATAGCCAGAGGATATAGAAGTATAATCCCTTAGCATGTCAAAGAGAAGAGAAAGATGGCCAGCTGGAAACCAGCAACAATTTATCTTACCGACAGGGCATCTTTGTTATACATTGAGTTGATTTTAAATCTAGAAAATTCTACTTATTAACTGGAAACTTAAAAGAGTAACAAGAATGTATACAATAAATCTTATCTAGCTCTGAAATAACTCAAAATTAGTAAAAATTATTAAAAATGTATTTTTCTACAAATATAGTAAATTGTGTATTGCTTTCAAATTTTAAAGAGCAAATATGAACCAGAATAATATTTGAACAAAATAAGAAAATAACATAGATGCCTATAAAATAAAAACACAGGGTGCCTATACTAGATATTATGAATTTTTTGTTCTGTGAATAGTATGAATTGGATATATTTTAGCCATTTAAAGAGTTGAAAAATGCTATATAAGTTCAATATAAAATTTTAGAATAAATAGTAACAAATTTAAAAAAGCTAAGAATGAGCATTAACCATTTGATGTTCTAACGAAGACAATAAATTATTCTATTCTCTTAGATGCTTGTGTTACTCTGAATTCTGAGTTAGTAGAAAATGCCAGATAAGTGTGTAAGTGTGTGGGCATACACACAGACCTATGCACGTATTCATGCACACGGACCTCCAAAGAGATGTATTTTTTATAAAATCTTAATATCTTGGTATTTTTCAAATCATTTACTCATGTCTAAATTCAAAGCTCTCTCATATGCAATATAAACACACGGCATAAGAAAATAGTTCAATGATTCTCGTTTCAAATGTCTTAATAATTAAGTGAAATATTTCTTCATAAGGGAGTTCAATGTTATTTAAATATTCATCACTATGATTAATTAAATATTATATGAATTGAGTGTTTATATTTAGACTTGCTATTGGCTATCTATTTCTATCTCTATATCTGAAAGACAACTTATTACTATGTTTACATTTTAATGGACATTTTTGTGTTTTTATTCATGATTTCATGTCCTTTGATTTCTCAGATTTTTCTTTAGAAATAAATTAATCATTTAATTATTTTTATATGTGGTCTGGAACTTTTCATAAATACATCACATATATTCCTGTCTCATTGGC